GCTAGAGAGGTGAGATGCAATTAATTGCAACAAGACGGTTCACTCGCTCATGTTAAATGTAGTTGGGTCGAAAATGCGGTGAACTATATTCCTGATTATACAAAAATATAATTTATATAGTAGCTGATCATGCTAAGATGCCACGTAGTTTGGAAAACCTTTTTTTTACCTTTGATTGGTGGGATTTTTTTTAATTTATGGATGTAGTAATTTTAGAAGCACATCATTATATCCCACGAAGTTTTACAAAATTACGAATTTTACATATAAAATATCAAGAATCTTGATTTTCATCTATCTCTATGGATATACTTTGTTAATTATTTTGGAGCGTGTTACTGTGTAGTTCGTGATAGGTACTCAAATACATTATTTTGCGATGGGATGATTTACAAATCTAACTTTCGTTCATATGATTCAAAATTATAAACTGCGTGAAAATACCACCAACAAGGCTATCCAGAATTTATTTATTCCATGCATTGCATGCACGTCGATTCGTACGTAGATTCAAACACCGGCTTCTTGAGCTGCCATTGTCGTGGCCATAAACCCTTTTTTGGGTTCATCATCGGAGTATTCATACGCCAACCCGCCGTGGTTCGTCAGATCCATACCGACCATCTCATCTTCCGCCGAAATTCTCAAGAGATTGAGCTTTTTCAGAGCCAAAAACAGAGTCCCCATCGTCACACTCACCCATGCACTGATCACTAATATCTGCACCACTTGCGCCGCCAATAGCCTCCCTCCGTGGCCGACCAACATCCCCTACGGACGATCTGGATTTGCGGCGTAGATCTCGTTCACGTACTCCTTAACGAACAATCCGGTGAAGATTATCCCCCACGTGCCGCAGCCGCCGTGAAGCTGAGCCGCCTCCAATGGGTTGTCGAATCTGAACCTCTCGGCGAGTTTGTTGAATTCGATGAGTACCCACGCTGCTACGAAGCTGCAGATCACGGTGGTCCACGGGTCAACCGCTGCGGATCGGTAACCCACATAGCAAGCCGTTGCAAACGTTGGTGACGTTTCAGTGGCCCACGAGGAGTTTCTTCCCGAAAAGGGTTGTCAGCGCCGCTGTGCATCCGGTGAGGGGGATGGTGGCGGCGGTGCTTCCTACAGTGCTCCACTGGCCGTAGAATGAATTTCCCGAAGATCCGTACGATTTGAAGATGTTGACGAAAGAGTCTGGGTTGAATCCGTACCACCCGAACCAGAGAAGAAACGTACCCATGACGACCAGTGTGGGCCCTTCGATGGCAGCTCCCCAGAGTCCAGCGATGCCTCCGACCATGTGAACAACACCGAAGCCTGCAAAATCGACGAGCCCTACACCAAACAGAAGGTTCTGAGATCTGGCAGGAGTCGCCCATCCATCGGCGGACCAGAATCAGTGGGAGACGATAGGGTAAATGAGACACGAGCACTACAAAAAAAATGGTCATTTCCAACGGACAAATCTGTTAGAAATGGCCAAATTTCTGTTGGAAATTAACGTTTCCAACGGATTTAAATTTCGTCGTTAGAAATCCGTGTCTGTTGGACAACCGTTGGAATTTTCAACGGAATTTCAACGAATTTTTCCATTGGAATTTTCCAACGGATTTCCAACCGCAATCCGTTGGAGGAATTTCCAACCGATATCCGTTGAAATTTTCCACCGAAAAAATCAAAACATATTCTCGATCCCGACCCCGACCCCGATCCTGACCCCGAAGCTCACTTCCAAGTAGGTCACCAATTCTTTCATTGCTCCAGTTCAATTCTCCTTAATCTTAGAGTTCCAATTGGTAATCATCCAACTGCTCCAAATTAAATTTCTGATATCATATAATATTAATATATATACATATATAAATATTTATACATATAAATATTTATATATATACATACACACATACATATATACATATATATATATATATAAAATATTTGTTATGTATATGTATATGGTTAATATATATATATACACAAAATATACTTGTATTTATACATATATATGTATACATATAAATATATAAAATACATATATTTAAATATATATATATATATATATATACTAATATATATATATATATATACATATTAGTATATATATATATATTAGTATATATATTTTTCAATTGATTTTTCAATTAAAATCCAAATTTCCAACTGATATCCGTTGGAATTCCGTTGAAATTTTTTTAAAAAATTTCTAAAAAAATTTTCAACCGACATCCGTTGGAATGTTTTCAAAAAAATTTCCAACCGACATCCATTGGAATTCCGTTGGAATTTTTTTTCCAACCAACATCCGTTGGAATTCCGTTAGAAATTTCCAACTGATTTTTCCAACGGATATCCGTTGAAAATTTTCAATGGATATCCGTTGGAAATACCGTTGGAAATTTTCAACCTAATTTTTCTATTGAATACGTTGAAAATTCCGTTAAAAATTTCCAACGGGCGATTCTAACGAATATCCGTTGAAAATTTTAACGGAATTTTAACGGAAATCATCGTTGAAACGCCGTTGAAACCCCGTTTAAAAATTTCCAACGGACAAATCTGTTAGAAAATTCGTTGGAATTCGATGATTTTTTTGTAGTGGAGGAATAGATGAGATAGGCGACGAATTGAGTCCTCTCGGCGAGGTAATCGAATGAAGGAGAAGGGCAATCGCTCATGCCAATGAATCCGTTGGAAGGACCACCGAAGGCGAAGGCGAACAAGTAGCAGAAAGAGGCCTCCGGCGGCGGCGTCCAGGGACGATGGTGAGCATGATGCCCATGGTTTCCAAAAGTATTATCCAAATTTTAAATGCCTTTCCACTTAGTTACATATTGGCAACAATTATTTGATCGTATTCAACCCAAAAATACAAATGGTTGGTCCAATATTCGAACCACAAGCAGTCCGTCTATAAACAGCTTAATATCAAAATCTATTAAGCATTTTAAAATATCGAAAATAGAATTGACTAATGCACGCAAGTCAAAAGTGTATTCGTCGGCACTATAATTATTTGAATATAAACCCAAATTAGCCCACCAAGTTTTATTAATATTTAACATAAGAAAAGAGGAGTGACGTTGAAAAGATAAATTATAATAAGATTCGGTCCACGAATTATAAGACAACCATATGCTTAAGATCGATTTCCGAGGAGGCATGTGCATATCCTCGGACTCTTTCC